GCAGACCAGGGAGATGGGGAGCAGCTATTCTCGCCCCGGAGGAGCGCCGCTCCAGTCCTCCGGGGCGACAAAATCCCCATTCGTAACTGCGGATCCGACAAAAGTCGGATCCGCGTAACTCGGGGACTGCCTGTATTCAAATTAATTTTTTATTCCTTCAAAAGTTATCAATGCATGGAAGGTTTTCCATATTATAAGCTCACAAATAACCACACTCCAAACTAAACTGTATACAAAGAGTAATTTTGATGTTTCAGTAAGTGAAACTGCAGAATTGTAGCATTTGTTTCACTTTAATGAGCATAAATCAACACGTCTAAAAAAGACTATTAAAGAAAAAATACAACGTTTTATATGAGAGCCTAGGAATTTACACTGACATAGCTACTTTATTTGTCACAATTTATTAGAGTATATGAGAGGGACAAACAAGGACTGATGAGAAGAAATTCAGTTGAAAAAAATGTGAAACAATATTCGAAAGAATTTTAAATGGTAAAATCAGCTCAAGTGAAACTGTTTTGACATGTTCAAAATCAGAACTGAACAAATCCCTGGAAAATATTTTATAGGCAGAAATCTTAAATTGACCTACTAGGTCTTTCATTTTTAATTTCCACAGATTATGCTGCTGTATAGACTGTAAAATGTGATTTACATTAAAGGATATCAACAGGAAAATAGGAACATAAAATTAAGCAACATTTCATTCAAATGCAAAAATCACCTTTTCCTCTAAGCAACTAACCTGAAAAAACATTAATAAAAGGTGTGCTAAAGACAGAGCCAACCCAAGGGTTTTTTGGCATCCTACACAAACTATGACTTTGCCTTACCCCCCACTCAATAATTAGGGGGGAGCAGTAGGGGAGATGGCACTAACGCCCCTGCACGGCCAGCTCTGTCTGGTGGGAGAAGGAAGAGGCGCTGTGTGCTACCATTTCCCCTTCTCTCCTCCCCCCGGCTGGGGGAACAGCAGCACAAGAAAGCATTCACCTGCAGGCTTCTCTCTCGCCACTCCCATTGGCTGGGTTTTTGGAGCCCCTTAGAGCTCGGCGCCTTAGGTGACCACCTAGTTCACCTATATTGGGGTGGCCAACCCACGGCTCTTGCTAGTTCTGAGCTGCGTGCCTGGACTACCCATGGCTGGTGCTCTGTGCACACGCCCCAGCGTCTGGAGGGAGAAGTGTGTGGCGATGGCGGCTCCGGTGAGACCCAGGCACTGGGTTAGAGTGGGGGGCGGGCTGGGGAGTGCCTAGCTCTGGGGGAGGCGAAGCACCTTAAACTCAAAGTCTTCATGGATGCAGAATAAGGCAGCCAACACAGATGTCATATTTAAATTCCAGGGCAAAAAAAGAATCAGCATATACCTGGTTTACATTGTGTTCCCTTAAAGAAAATTCAAAAGCTATTGTTTGCCAGGCTGAAGAAATTTTTCTGAGATATGAGTCTCTTCCTTATTGTTTTTGAACCTCTCATATTTGCAGTCTGGGACAGACCTGAATTTTTAGAACTATAAAAAAAGCCAACACCATACCAGAGATCAACAAGCCGGAGTGAAACAGGCACTTCAAATTATGCTAATTTACTTCTCAGTTCAGTTTAATTTTAAAAAACTCACAGGACCTAATAGGGCAGCAGTATTAAATTTAAAATATATGGTGGGGATGCTTGTTTTGTGAGAATATTTATGTATTTGTGAGAGAATATTCGTGTATTTTTAAAGGGTTTTTTTAAAATTTGATGTTTGTTTTTTGTCAAGTTCTCTAAAGATCTATGGCTGGACGTGAATTTTTTAAGTGATTAGTTTTTTTTATTGGTTTTTGTCCAAAATATCCTGTAATGTTATTTTTAATCACTACATTGTGTGTACTAGATATATTTATTGTTATCTATCTATAAAATGTGGATCTTTGCACTCTATCCACAGCTATTTTGGCTCTTCGTCTCTAACTGGTTAGCCACCCCTCACCTATATAGTCAGGCCAGCCCTAGCTAGAAATACATATTCTCTGATCCACAAAGTCAAGGTGGGCATTATGTAAGTATCAGTAGCACTCTTACTAGGTCAAGATGTTTTAGGTTTGAATCCAGCATTTTGACTCTAAATAAATTATGAGACTGCAAGTGTAATATTAGATGGAATCACATTGTTTAGAGGCAGGGAATTTTAGGGGGAATAAAAGAGGCAGAAACCTTAACACTGATGCCAATATTTCCCTTCATGTCTAAGTCTATACATGAGCCATACGTGCCCCGACTCTCCTTTTATCAAAGGATTAATAACAGACCAGCATTTAACTCTTCCCTTTAAAAAGCAGTGATCTACAAATAGTGGCACCTTAAAACAGTTTTCTGCTCTCCCCCAACAGTCTTGTCAGAAGTTTATGGGAGCAGCTGGAGGGAAGGGGACAGTAAAGAGTGGTCAATAGAGCACTGGACTGGGACTCTTGATATTTGGGTTCTATTCTGGCACTTCCACTGCTTCCCCCCGTTCCTCAATCTTTGGGGCCACAAAATCTTGAAAAATCTCATATTACAAGAACTTGACTAGATAAATATGTTATATCCAGTCCCACAAGGAGAGAGGAGAATTTGTTTTTCACAGTAATACTCAGAAGAATACAAATTTCATCATATAGTAAAATGCTTCTCTCACCTCATCACTAGTTAGTTTCTTTGCCTTGAGTAGTCTCTGTGTTCTGTCTTCATCTGATCCCTCGTCACTGTCTGAAGAATAGATTCTAGCACGTTCCTCTGAAAATGAGAAATTAACCCTAGTAAAGACGGGTCTGCAAATGCCAATCCCTTCCAAGCCACCCTGAACTATACCATTTCCTTATATTTCACACAATAATGTGCCAATATCTCACCATCTTAGGCTACGTCTACACTGCAACGCTATTTCGGGATACCAGAGTACCTTGAAATAGCTCTCCTGCATGTTAAGAGCAAGCTCATTATTTCGGGCTCGCTCTTCCAACCTCCCTGTAAACCTCATTCTACGAGGAGTAAGGAAAGTTTGGGAACAGCGCTTTATTCTGAAATCTGGTGCTGTGTAGAGAGCGCCAAATGATGAAATACGCTATTCTGAAATAGCATCAAAATAAGATGCGCAATTTGCGTAGCTCAAATTGCATATCTGATTTCAAACTTTGGTGCAGTGTAGACACACCCATAGTGACACACTATACATGAATTCACAAAATATAATTAAACAGACTTAACGTTCTTTATAGTTTCCGTGTTCATTATATACTACTCTGAGAAATCTGTTATTTCATCAGGACTATCCTGTGAAATGGGTCAATATGAATAAGACTGCACTCATCAGATACTAACAAAAAAGTTACATTCAGATTTTATTTGTACCTCTTATACCACCTTTGTAGCGGTTTTTAATAGCTGCCAGACTGATTGCCTCTTCTCCTTCATCCTCCTCATCGTAACGATCAGGTTCTAAATAATTTGCACTAAGGCCCCGCTGGTGCTGCTTCTCCCGCATTCTCCGCTGCTGGGATTCTCTACGAATAGAAGCTCTTAATCTCTCCTCTTCTTTCTGACCAGGAAAAGCAGCAGCATGTAAGATCCACGGAGAATTACACCCAGAGAGCATCTTTCTCCAATGCTGCACACCTAGTATAGTCATTTCACATAGCTTGATGATCACTTTGCACTGATGCGAATGACTACACACAGGGCAGGACTATGGAGAATCAGGCAAGTCGTTTTTATATTTGACATTTCTCTTGATAGAAACATTTATAGCTTTAAGCGTCTTTATTTATTTTCTTTAATGCAGACCAGAGTCAAAGGCTTAGCTTCCAATATTGCAAATCAGATTTTGGAATATTCTAAGAATTTAAACAGCTTAAAAATAGAGACAACAAAACATACCCATGATGAAATATAAATTATTTACAATCAGATAACATGCAGGGAAAAAAAAGCAACTTAAATTTAACCATTACTTGTTTCTAGATTGCTGTGTCTGTTTTACCTTTCCTATACAGAACATGTGTGATAAACATTGATTTGTTCATCGCACTATGCCAAAAATGCTATTTTCAATTAGCACTACTTTTCCTGGAACATTGTATTGTCAATGAATACAAAATTTTGAAAAACTAATATTTATATCTGTAGCAACATACTTAAATTAATGTTTGAATAAATATGTTCAATCTCTAGATTTTTATTTTCTTACTAAAATTTAAAATAACATTTACAGAGGTAACACCAAAGCAATAATGGAATCTCAGAAGCAACACAGAGACCATGGTTTGCAGCAAACACTACGAATTTTCCCCCCACTACTGAAGGATTGGAAAAAACTTCACTTTTCAGTAGAGGGCCCAGCACTTCCTTCACAGTTGCCTGTGGAGTACCTCAGAATTGTTTGGCAGGGTTGTTTCTATAGATTACAGCAAATACTCCATTCACAAGGTTTATTTTATGACAGCTACACCTTGATAGCAATTGTAATCTTTACTGGCACTAGTGACACATAACCAATCAATATTCAATCAAGCTTTTAATAAACATATACTCTGAAGTGAAATCTTTTGCACAGTGCCTATGTACTGGTCCTGCAGTGCATGAGAAATCTAGTTGCAGCACAAACAGATAACTTACATACAAAAAGGTTACTTTTGGTTAAAAGTAAAAAACTAATAAAATAAAGAAGTTTGACTGATTTATTTCCAAAAATTCCACAACCATTAGCTCCTCTGTTTAAAGCATGGGAATTTTCAGGCCAAAAGATTAGTTGGAATAGTGAAAGGCAGATATGGGAAGGCAAATAAAAGGGGCTAGTTTCTTTAAAAATGAAATTACAACTGGCTCTAGCATGTTGTACAGGAAACAGCATTTCATGTGGAAGGTTATCCATCAGCCCTTTGCTGATTTGTTCTGTCTCAATAGAAGGATTAGTCCCCTTCGCATGCCAATCCAGGAATGGCAGACATAGGAATTAATTCTGACACAAAATACAGGCAAACATTACTGTGAGTATTATACAACTGGCTGCTATTCTTGTATAGTTGGCAACCAACTTCACAGAATATACATTAAAAATGTCTGCATTTGGGTGTTCGAACATCTATCTGAAAAAAGACAAAGTGATCTTCCTGTGGCTGGCATTGTCTGTAGAGTGAGGCCTGTTAGAAAATTGTTTCAGGTTAAACACATTGGGTACATCTAGACTACATCCCTCTTTCGACAGAGGGATGTAAATTAGGCACATCAAAACTGCAAATGAAGCCAGGATTTGAATTTCCTGCACTTCATTTGCATAATGGCATCATGATGCTCTTTCGAAAAAGCGCTATTTTGAAAGTAAAACCGCAGACTAGATGCGGTTCTTTCGAAAATGGAAGCCTTTTTCGAAAGATCCTGTAAACCTCATTTTTTGAGGTTTACAGGATCTTTTGAAAAAGCCTTCTCTTTTTTTTACTTGTTTTTTTACATCCTCAGTTGAAAGAGGGATGTAGTCTACACTCACCCATTATGCAAATGAAGCATGGGAAATTCAAATCCTGACTTCGTTTGCAGTTTTGAAGTGCCTAATTTACATCCCTCAGTTGAAAGAGGGACGTAGTCTACACTCATCCTTACATTGGCACCTCTGCTTTCTAAACATCAAAGAAGCCATGGAAGTCTGTTTGCCTTCTCAGCCAAAAGGGTGGAGAATAGCAATATTGCTATTTATCAAGAAGGGAAAACTGCACAGAAAACTGACAAAGCAACACATTCTTCCTGTTCTTGCATAGAGGAAGTTCCTATACAAGTCAACAATTAAAAACTTCCACTGAAAAATACACAATAATTTCCATATTACAATACAGAGATAGCTAGGCATTCCAGTCAGGACTGGGGCTCCACTGTGCTGGGCCCTGTAGAACAAGGGAGATTAATTTGGGCTATAATTTTGAAAGTGCAAATTAAGTGTATACAGGCCAGATAAACATGACGTAGAGTAAAGTGTCAGGATCATTTGGCAACTGCTATAAAAACAAACACATCACCTTATTTTCATCTTAAAAACAATTTTTTTTCAATTTTACTTCCCAGAGCTTCATTTGTTGTATTCTTAATATTTGTTTTTAAATTGTTATTTCTGAAATGTTCTTGTTAACAATTTCTGCTCTTAGTTTATAAGGCAATCACTGTATCAGGGGCTATATCCACCAATCATAAAAATGGATGTTACATTGGTAGAATATATTACTAAGCTATACTGGGTAAATCTTAATTCATTTTTCTAAAAGCAAGTCACAATATTTACAATTTGAGAGGAACAAAGTTAGTTCTAAATTTACGTCATAAAACAATAAAATTCCTTATCACAATTAACACCTTAATCATTTCTGTGCGCTGAGATTCTGGATCACGACCAGCCATTGGCAAAATACGAATTTTTTGGGTCTTTGAACATCTATCTGCAAGAGACAAAGTCATCTTCCTGTGGGTGGCGCTGTCTGTAGAGTGAGGCCTGTTAGAAAATTGCTACAGGTTAAATACATCTTATAAGGATACCTTTGCTATCCAAGAACAATCACAAACATGCCACAAAAACAACAGGGAAAATCAAAGACTCATTTGTGCAAAACCAAAAAAAAACCACAACAGATAATATGTACAACACACACAATTATCTAATAAAATATTTAACAAAATCACCCTTCCCCTAAGAAATCCTTCACATCCTCTTTACACTGACATATTCCTCCTTCTACTTCAGATTTATGCTTCTGATCATTATCACCATCTTCGTAACAGTGAAGTATTGTGTAGAGATCTTTTTTCCAAGATCAATACCCCTCCTGATTTACACCATTTATCATAGTAAAATGTAAATTAAGTATTAAAATTACAGATAAAAATATAGGTGGTCTAGATAGTGTAATAAATAGCATACTGGCCTTCCAACCCTGGAGATTTGGTCTCAGACCTAATTACCTTCAGATCTACTCTGAAAGTGAATATTGAAAAATGGCATCTTCTTACTAAACAGCTCAATTTCCTCTGTACAGTATTCAGTGACAGTGAAACAGTATTTAGCTTGTTTTATTGTTCATATAGTATTACAGTTATGCTATGGGGAAGGACAGGGTGCTGGCTGGTATCTGGGCCACTTATCAATGGAAATTTTAACTCAGTCTCAATTGCAGGACCATATTCCGATCTCAATTATGCTTGTAAAAAAATGAGGCACAGACAGCTGCCCCAAGATGCCACTTCAGGATCACTTTTTAGAGACATGTACTGTAGCTTTCAAGCATAACTAGCTAGCTTCAAGCTAGTCTTACTCTTCATCGAGAGTATAAACTCATACAATTTGGAAGTCTCTGTACAACTGATACTCAGATCCCAATACCAGTGGTAAGCACTAGTGTTTCCTGTAAGTCAAGTGCTTGGGCGATTGCTCAAGAGAGATTCAGGGGCTGCCCAGCTGATTAGCAGAGCACCTATGGTGCTCGCAGCATGTTTTTCTATAGTGGTGCACATACATGTGCCTCGGTGCACATGACAAAATTTAGTTTGCACATGGATGGAAAAAAATTAGAGGGAACACTGGTCACCACTGAAGTCAAATGGTAGCCTATAAAACTCATGACTGAGCCACAGTTATGTGCATAGCAGCCTCAGTTTTCAAGAGCCAGAAAAAAAATTTAAAAATAGTTTGGGGGGATTTTTTATTAAAAAAAAAAAAACCCTCTTCCATACCAAGTGTAGTAAAATAAAAACTCATTAATCATTTCTTCACCAATTCATCTCCACCTTACAATACTCAAAACATTTCATACCAAAATGTTGTACTTTGACTTAATGTTCTGTTAATTAACTGTATGTTTACCTGAAAGTTAATTTAGTCTTGAACACAGCCTGGCCCTGTAGACCAGTTCCTTGTCGGATAAACAGATGGTTGTGATCTCCCTGTAATGGTGCCTTGTACACATCAAATACTTCATTGCCCAAATGCAGTGACATGCTGAAAAAAAGATGTATATATCATTTAGTTTGATATTTAGTGACTCATTCTGGATTTACCTCATACATAAGTGGAGAAAACCTTTTCCTCTTTTTTATGTACAATGTAGATTGAAATAGTTAAATAATACAGCCTACACTCAAAGATCTGAGAAAACAATAGTTATCAATTGTGTAAGCTTCAAACGCCACCCCCACACACTTTTCTATGCAAGCACATCTTACAGTTATGTTTTCCTAGTCTAGATTAGAAAATACAGACAAGCCTAAACTAACCTTCCATCTGACCACTTGACTATCCGTGCATTGCTTTCTCGAATCTCATTTCCTTCTTCATCTCTTCGCATCCGCCAACGTATAGTATTTTCCACCTGGAACAGAAAGCCTGTAAGTATGTATCGCCTTTGAATCTCCTAGGTTTTTTGTTTTGTACAGTAGTTTGAATGAACCTAACAGGGAAGAGGGGAAATGCAGAAAGAAAATTACAGATATACCTTTAGTTTTAATCTTGTTCTACCCTCTTCATCAAGCATCTCCTCATCTTCAAATTCATCCTCATAATATTGAGGATCAAATGGTCTGTAATAAATTAGACAATGTATTCTTTATTCACCCATCCTCTAGAAAAGCAAATGCAGGTTAATCTAGGACTGCTAAAATGCATTTGCGATTCAGCTAAATTATACATTACACATAACTGTAGACATCACTACCATGGTATATATGCATTTATTTCTGTAACCATGTAATAAACTGGAGAGGTTTAAAACCACAGACAATATAAAGTCTCTAATAATATCAGCTGCAACCAATTCTAAGATTTTACACCTCTAAATAGCTTTTTGTAAAGACAAAGTCTACCTCAAATGTGATGTCTTCCCCCCAGTGTCCCATTGTGGCAAAGAGGTCAAGCCTGACTTTAGGACAGAAGTGGCAAACCTCTGACCTGCGGGTTATCAGGATTAGTCACTGGAGGGTTGCCAAGTGGTTTGTTTACCTGAGTGTCTGCAGGAACAAAGCCCCACAGCTACCAGTGGCCACAGTTTGCCGTTTTAGCCAATTGGCACTTCTGGTAGGAACTTCCCGCAACCCTTATTGGTTGGGAATGGCAAACTGCAGCACTGGGAGCTACAAGCAGCCATACCTGCAGATGCTCAGTTAAACTGTCTAGTGGTCCGCCAGCAGCTAACCCTGACAAACCATGTGCGGCCAGTGCACCAGAAGCTCTAGGACTTGATATGGTAAAGTGAGTTTTAAAAATATGATAAAGACTTTGTCAATTATCAAGGTTCAGATGCACAAATTCCTGCCAGAACAACATTTGGATGAACCATCTTTCATCTGAGCCTAACAGGCGTCAGGTTTGTCCCACACAGTCCCACACTAACCCATCTGACAGAAGGGAGAGGTGGGGATGTAACTGTGTAGTCACCTGCATGATTAACCAATAAGCCTGATAGAGAGGCAGCTGCGAAGAGGGTGAGGGGGGCAGGCAAGAGCCAGTACATGAGGGAAGCCTGCCTTCAAAACTGCCCACGCACATATTGGCCCACGTGAGCAGCTTACTCCCCTCCCCCAGTGCTGCTGCCTCTCTAGCAGAGGCAGCAGCGTGGGGCGGGGAGGGGCAGCCAGTTCTATGGAGTCACCTGCCCCAGACTTCTGCCTCCCAGAGGCAGGGGGGAGAGGGGTAAGCAATAGCTGATGCAGGATGGAGGAGAGGGAAAGTTGGCTTAAAAGCTGGTTCTCCCCCAGCACCAGCTCTGTCCGCAGGGAGCTAGAAGCGTGGGGTGGCAGGAGGATCCCCAGTAGTGGGGCTCAGAGCGCACTGGCTGCTGGCCCCGCCCCTAGGGACTATCGAATAGTCATGTAACCCATAAAATTTGATGCAGTTACATGACTATTCAGTTAATCACTATCTAACATCACTAGGGAGAGGCAGAAAAAATTTTCTTCCCACCCAGTCTGATATCTGGAGGAGTCTCATCCCTCAACTCGTCTCCCAGATGTTGTAAAGGAACAGAAAGTGAAAAGGGAAAAGCTGTTAATCTTCTAAACTACTGCTATTTGAGCTTGGTGTGCTTGAAAATTAGGTTTGTTTATATTGGTCAAGAGTACGAAAAATCCTTACCACCAAGCAGGGATATTCAGCCAACCTAAGTACCCATGTAGACCATTCAAGTTCTACAGAAGAACTCTTCTGTCAACCTAGCCACTGCCTCAGGGAGGTAGATTACATATGCCAGTGGGAACAATCCCTCCCATTAGCAGAAAGAGCATCTACATTGAAATGCAACAGCAATGCTGTTTATGCTGTTGTAGTGTTTCAAGTGTCAACAAGCTCTTGGTTTCCATTTATGTAACTGATCATTAGTATCTCCATTTGCACCTGCTATGGATTATGGCTGCAAAGAGTGATGGAAGGAGAAGCAGCAAAAGTGACCAAAGTTGTCAGATGCACTTTTCTACTCTTTGAGAAAGCCATCAATGGCTGCAGTAATCTGTCTGAATATTTTCCAAGTCTGTATATCCTGACACACAACATTTTGAAAACCAAGCAATGATGCATCAGGATAGAAGTGGTCCAAAAGAAGAGTTCTCTTTCAAAGTGGTCTGCAGCAGGAGAATCACCGAACTAGAATGGGTCAGGAACAACCCGACTTATACAGGGATAGTGATACCTTTTATAAGGTCCGGTAACACAAATCCTAAATCAGTGGTATGTTTAGAAAAAGGCAAAACTCAAAACTTTTTTATAACTGGTTGATGTGCAGTTGGAGCAGTACTATAAGAAGCTATACACATTTATTTATTTTTTTATAAAATTTGGAAAAAAATTCTATGATCTGTATTATACAAATGATCAGTCTGAATAATCATAATGCTTTCTTCTGGCTTTGAATAATCATAATATTTTTTTCTGGCTTCAATGGATAAAAAATAGTCACCTAGCAAACAGATGAGGTGAAACTTGTTTTAAAATCCAAAGTAGTGCTGCTATTATTCAAAAGTACATTTTAATAGCAATTATATTTGGCTAGATTAAATGGTCTCAAATTGGAAAAATATGAAAACTACTTGTTTTGAACTCAACTGATAATCTTTTAAAAACCAGTCTTTATAATACTATGAACTCATTAGGAACATGCTACTGTTTCAATTCACTGTATTTTTAAAACTGATATTTTGTGAAGATACAGTAAACTTCCGATAATCCGGCACCTTTAGGACCCAGGGGGTGCCAGATTATCAAATATGCCGGACTATCAGAGGGGGGGCTATGAGGGGGTCTGGGGTGGGGTGGGGGGATGCCACCCCAGACCCCTCATAACCCCCCCTTCCGGTACTCTGGCATATCTGATAATCCGGCACCCCCTGGGTCCTAAAGGTGCCGGATTATCGGAAGTTTACTGTAGTTATTAAGGTTTGAAGCTGCTAGCATAGCTTTCAACCTTCTTGGTTTCAGCTTATACTTTGACTTTTCCAGCCTGGCTTCCCCAATTCAGCTGCTGGTCAGTTTCAGCAGCGGCTGAATCGGGGAAGCCGGACGCAGAACAGCTCCAATTGTCCGGCTGCCACGAACACTTCCGGGTTCCTGATGGTGCTGGACCATCAGGAGTGCTGGACCATTGGATGCTGGACTAATGGAGTTTTACTGTACATAGTAGGCTAAAAATATGAAAAGCATAGACAATTCTAGCAATTCTTTGCAAGTTACATAAATGCATTGTTAAGTCAGTCCACTGAAACCTATATCATTTTTTGTTGTGTATTAATCTCAAAAACAAGATACATAACCACTAGGAGACCTAAAATCTTTCTAGTTGACTTTTTACATGATATTCAGTACTTGATTTTTAGATCTGAAACACAGCAATGTCTTGAGAGAAAAGTCATACATATAAAATTAATAAAATAAAAACAGATTTTCTGTAGTAAGGAAATACTCAGGTCCCCTGAATAGTCTGTGTACTCTGAATTAAATTTTAAAGAAAGATAATTTGTTTTAAAAACACAGAATGAAAGTATCAACATTTACCAAAAACTAACACAGTGCTGAAGAAAGGAAGACCACTATAAATTCAGGAGATGGTGCAATGCAGGCACAGGCAATTACAAAATATTAAAAAGGACAGAATTACTCATTTGAGTTGTATGCCAAGTCTACAAAAGATCACTAGTTCTTTTATTGGTTTAGACAAGAATGAGATGAATTTTAAAGGTAGACCAAGTAAAAATTTCACAAGGTCAAATTAGTACAAAATAAAAGGAGTTATTTACTAGAACAAAAGCAATACAGGGAAATAAAAACCTTTACTCCAGACTCCAATATAATTACCTGGGCTCCACGCTGAGGAAGTTGGGCAACTTCACAAAATATAAGTCATTTCCTAAATCAGTGTTTACTTTTGGTATTTCTACTTCTATTCGTGTTTCTGGAATAGGTTCTTCCTCCGGCTGCTCCTGATTGAGTCCATTCTCATCCTAATGGACAGAGTAGCAAAACCATATTATATGATTTAGGTGAAAAAGGCGACTCTTTGGGATATTCCACTGACCTCTTAATTTTTGCTCTGAAATACGGATTTTAAATATCAGTTAACTGGATAGTCGAGTAACCTCATGAATTCTTATCGGTTAGTTGACTATTCTATAGTCCCTGGGGATGGAACCAAGAAGTCCCCTGCCACTTCATGCTGTTGCCTCTGTATCCGAGGCAGCAGCGTGGGATACCAGGCAGGAGCTGGTCTACGAGGGGAGCCAGTTTAAAAACCAGCTCCCCTCACAGACTGGCTGCCTGTCACCCTGTACTATTGCCTCTGATAAAGGGGTGAGAGCAGCCCTTGTCTGGGGCGGGTCTGAGCTCCCAGACCCAGAGTGAGCCAGGACTGAGCTGGGCTGCCTGCCTGCCTGTCTAGCTCATAATACACTTTAAATGCAGAGCCACAGCAGGTGTAGGTCCTGGACCTGTCGCAAGCCAGGACTAAGCCGAGCTGTTGGCCAGTCTGCTAAAAAATTTACTGGCCGGGGGCAGGGAGGAGAGAGAAGAAATGTGTGTAGTCTATAGCATTAACCTATAAGCTTTTGCTTATCAGTTAATTGACTACACTATTACATCCCTACTCTGAAACATATGGAAAAAAATCTCTTTCCCACCCCTTCCACCTAACATGTAATTGGACTGTACAAAGTACATACTACTGAGACAAAATTATCACTGTACTCAAGCATGCCATCTCAAGTGATTTCAGTTTTGAATGTTAGCTCAAGATACCAGAGAGAATGAACATTTAAAAAAAAAAAAAAAAAAAACCATGGGATTGATTCAAATAATCAGCCTCTTACAGGAAACAAGAAGATGATGTCAATTTTGCCTAGATAAAAACTGGCCTTTAGATGTAAAGGTCTTTGAATCCATAGTCATCTATTGCCAAAAGAAAAACACTTTTCTAACAGGCCCTACTACAAGTATCAAGAATTGTTATAGTGCTATATTATACGTGCTGATATCAGCAGAAAGTACTCAAAACATATATCCATAATTACAACAGTAGAAAAACAAATGTCAGCCTATCTTGCATTGCCATATATACCAGGAAGAACTGTTAATAGTAATTCTTTCTGCTTGTGCAAATCATTTATGAATTCTCACTAAACTGTCAATCTTTCATTAAAATGTGCTAAAACTCATAGACTTTAAGGTCAGAAGGGATCATTATGATCATCTAGTCTGATCCCCCGCACAATGCAGGCCACAGAATCATACCCACCCACTCCTGGAATAATCCTCTCACTCCTCTAGGATTTAAAACTTTATACTAGACTACTGGGACAGGTGTAAGACACAGCAGGCAATTTTAGTCAAAAGTCTTACAATAGGTTGCCCTGGAGTTGGTGGCTTGTCTTCCCCATCGCTCCCTGAAGAAATGTCATCTGCACCTCCAAATAGATCTATTGCATCCCTGTGACCTTGAATAGAATACGAGAGAGAAATTGTTACATTCTACCACTGGATATCATCTACGACATCATTAAAAGGGACCTGCAAAGGAGAAAAAAAAGATTTCCTATTTTGTGCATTGCTCTAGAAAGTTCAAAGAGGACTTGAAAAGTTGATTTTGTCTCTTCTCCCACAGAGAAATGTTTTAAACTTACAAATTCAGGTCACATCTACATTGGAAGAACTCTATAAAGACAGGAATACTACTGAAACAATAACATCATAAGGACCAAGAGTGAAAACTTAGCAACTGAGAGGAACAGATTTTAGATTAGATTATTTAAACTTTCAATCATGAAGTAAAAACCAATTTAGCATATTAGACAAAGGCAGATCTGATACCTCCATCCATTCTAGTGAAGTGCGGCAGATAACATACATCCTCTGAGTCTCCTATCACAGATTCACTAATTTCTAGAGTCTTCCAACAAGAAATTAGGATACAATGATGTTATATTTTTTTCATAAAATTCAATTGTTGCCCAGGAAAGTGAACAGCTGATAGCAATGGGTACAGATGACTTAGAATTGTGCATGCTTCTCCACACAACTCTATTGCTACAATTTATTGGGCACCTTAGACGTTATGATCTGCGTCTCTCAGATAATCCAACATTAGTTTTCTTCTCATACCAATAATACACAGTTTTAAACTGGTTTTGTGACAGACACTTAATGTCAGATAAAGTAGAAGGGATTTGAAAAAAAACAGCTAGTTACCTTTTTGTCCTTCTACATCACTGTCCATTTCTGAATCCGATGTAATTGTTTTTTTACGTTTCATTCGCAAAATTTCATCTTCACTGTCACTGCCTCTTGCAGATTCTATCAAAGAGTAGATCCTCAAATTAACTGTTTCATTCTGCATCTTTTTACATCTCACATTATCCATAGCTTGTATTAATAAGTAAACTAATTCAACCAATGAAAAAATAATTAATGTAGTCTGAATCAGGCTTTATTAAAAATACTCTATTATCATTAAAAGTCAACTGAAATTGATAATTAATTTTGTAACCAAATCTAAATAATTTCAAGCCAGGACAACAAAGGGATATTGTTATGGACCGGTCAACAAGAAAACTCATGACTTTGGGTCCTCGTTGTAATGGTGACAGTTCAGTCTATTCAAAATCACGATCTAAATAAAAAATCAACTTGGTTTTGTTCATGAAAATACACTAGAATCAATTTTTTGAGAAAAGGTCACCCAACATGAGGATTAATTTTCTCAACTGGGAGACCACTAGAAGAACCCAAGGCAGTCAACAATTACAATATTTTCATTTGTCTATTTATAGTGAAATCATTAACACTGTATTCAATCCTACCAGATTTATGTTCCTGTTCCTCTTCATCATCAGAACGCCTGTGATCTTCATCAGAATGCTGGGCCCTTTCATCATCCTCAGAGTTCTGCATCTTCTCTTCATCAGAATGCTGAGCCCTTTCATCATCGGAGTTCTGGATCTTTTCCTCATCAGAGATCTGCAGCCTGTCTTCATCATCTGAGTTCTGCATTTTCTCCTCATCAGAGTTTTGTAGTCTTTCCTCATCATCAGAAACCTGAGGCCTTTCATCATCATCAGAGTTCTGCACCTTCTCTTCATCATCAGAGTTTTGCGGCCTTTCATCATCATCAGAATTCTGTAGCTTCTCATCATCATCTGACTGATCACTTTTGTCCTCTTTGCCCCATTTTTCATCCTCCGAATGTGCTTTTTCAGATCCATCAGCATCTGAGCGATGGCTACCTTCGTCTGATCCGTGTCCTCTGGCATCATCGTCATCAGCAGCTTCTGAACCACTATGCTGATCAATATCTGACTGGTCATTATCTTCATGTTCAGAATGTCCCGAAGCTTCAGAGTGATTGTATGATCTTTCAGACCGGATGTCACTCCCAGTATGGTGGGATGCTCCCTCATCCTCACTATCATCTCCAAATAACTCTTTATTGCTGGGCTTTATTGCCTCTCTGTCATCATCACCGTCACTCTCACTTCCAGAAACATTACTGCCTGACCCAGCATTCTCCTGATCAGAGTCAGAGTCAGATCCAGAGTCAGAATCTGCAAAATAAATACTATCCACTTAAAAATTATTAAGGTGACAGAATGCCAGATGAGGAGACACCAAAAAGATTAGCACTTCTTAAAACACAATGGGGAAAAAAATGAGGAGACAAGAGAGATGCACTTAAATAATGAAAGTAAAGTGGATGGGCTTATGCAAATGATTATAAGAATACAAGAGTAGCTAACTAAGATGTGGCATTAAAAGAATTTTTTTTTTAAAAAGGACAGATAACTAATTTGTGATCCTAACTGCCACAAGTCATCATTTAAGCCAAGAGTTTATTAGGAGCCAAAGAAAAATTAGACATTTATATGAATAATCAAGACATCAAAGATAAATTCAAAAGAATAAAAAGGGATTAACTAACATTTTATTCTGTGTATAACATCTCAAGAGATCAAAACGGAAATTGTTTTCAAATCCAATTTGCTTGTCCTTCCCGAACACATGTCCAAAGTCAGATTTGTTAAAGTAGAACTGCTCATAAGTGCTGGGTTTGTAGCACTTATTTTTATTCATGAAAAAATCTAGCATTTGTTTTGAAGAGTAAATTACATAAAATGACAAAGACTTATAAAACATGCAGAAGCTCAAATTTTAGACAAGCCAATCTGGACAATATCCTTAAAGAAATAATTTCAACATTTTCTTGGAATTCTAATGACAATTGTGAGGTGTGAATTATGTTAAAAATAGTGACCATCACTAATATAAAAAGAGAAAGTTATAGAAATGATCACTGAAAGTACAGTCTTAACAGGTTATTTTTCCAGATAAAAAGGAACAAACAAGAAACTCATGAAATGCAACATCACTAAATATACAAGTACTCAAAGAATAAAAGGCTAATAAAATGTAACTGCCCTGTTAAATAACAGAATACCAGTTGAAGATTTATTAAATATTTTGGATGTCTTCTACATTTTCAAATATATTGCTTTTTATTAAAACTTAGAATACAAAGTATACAGTTCTATATTACTTTTATTACAAATATTTGCACTGTAAAAATAATAAAATAAATTGTAGTTTTCAATTCACTTCATAGAATTATTGTATTGTAGTGCAATCTCTTTATTATGGAAGCTTAACTTACAAATTTAGATTTTTTTTGTTACATATCTGGACTAAAAAACTAAACAATGTAAAACTTCTGAGCATGGGATTTCAAACTTCCAGATAGCAGGCCATCCCTGGCCACAGCAGTTGCCCTATATGACGAAGGAGCCTGGGCAGGCCAGGGGAAGTTGACCTGTCCGTACCTGTTTCCCAACCCCTATCTCTTCCCTGTCCTTCCCCTCCTCCCCCCATGGCACCTGGTCCCCAATGACACAGCTTTGGGGATTACTGGGGGTACCTGGTCTAGGGCTGCAGCAAAGGTCAGTGCGCCAACACTCCCCATGGCAGTGGCAGGCCCCCCAGGTCAGATTAGGCAACTACTCTGGCCAGGGATGGCCCGTGATCCAGAAGTTTGAGACCACTGCTTTAGAGCCCACAAGTCCATTGAATCCTACTTCTTGTTCAGCCAATCCCTAAGGCAAACAAGTTTAGTTACAATTTGCAGAAAGTAATGCTGCCTGCTTCTTGTTTACAATGTCACCTGAAAATGAGACCAGGCGTTCGCATGACATTTTTGTAACTTTTGTTGCAAGGTGTTTGTGTGTCAGATATGATGTTTGTATGCCCCTTTGTGCTTCCACTATTACAGAGGATATGCTTCCATGTTGATTATGTTTGTTTAAAAAGTATTAATTAAATTTGTGACTGAACTCTTTGGTGGAGAATTGTGGCTCCTGATCTGTTTTACCAGCATTCTGCTATATATTTCAAGTTATAACAGTCTCAGATGATGACCTCACAAGTTTGTTTTGAGAACACTTTCACAGCAAATTTGACAAAATGCAAGGAAGATAACAATGTGAGATTTCTAAAAACAGCTATAGCACTGGATTTAAGGTTTAAGAATCTTAAGTGTCAGCCAAAATCTGAGCGTACTTTCATAAGTCTTAAAATAGCAAACACTCCAATGCAAAAACTACAGAATCCAAACCATCAAAAAAAAATCCACCTTCTGCTGGTGGCATCCAACTCAGATGATGAAAGGGAACATGCATCAGACTTCATTGCTTTGGATCATTATTGAGCAGAACTCATAATCAGCATGGAAGTATGTACTCTTGAATGGCTGGTTGAAGCATAAAGGGTTATATGAATCTTTAGCACATCTGGCATGTAACTATCTTGTGATGCAACAACAGTGCTATGTAAACGTCTGTTCTCACTTCCAGGTTACATAGTAAACAAGAAGCAGGCAGCATTATTTCCTACAAATTGTAACCAACTTATCTGTCTGAGCAATGGGATGAACAAGTAGTAGAACTGAATGGACTTTAGGCTCTAAAGTTCTACATTGTTTTGTGTTTGACTGTAGTTATTTTTGTGCATACACTTGTAAGTTCACGTTTGATGATAAAGAGATTGCACTACAGTGCTTAGGTGTATTAGGTGAATAGAAACACTGTCTTTTGTTTTTCATTGTGCAACTATTTGTGATCAAAATACAGTGAGCACTGTACACTCTGGATTGTATTAAAATGCAAATCAGTATATTTAAAAACGTAGAAAATATCCAAACTATGTAAACAAATGACATTATATTATGAATTGCACAAATAATCGCATTTTACCGCCTGGCAGGCCTTGTTATTAGCAATACAATCCTTCCGGTCTAGAGCAGGGGCCAGACACACTCCCCCTCTCGCAGGCCTCAGCGCCTGGCAGGGGACAATCGCCGCGGAAGGCAGAAATCCAGCCCCAAAGGGGCAGGGCGCAAAGCCCACCCGGCCCGGCCATCACGTGACACCAAGTGGCAAGGCCAAGAGGGGCCGCCAGCCCGGGAACGGACAAAGGGAGGGGAAGCCCCAGGGGGGGGGGGGGGGCGACCCGTGAGGGGCGCAGCGCGGAGGAAGGGGCAGAGCAGGTTAAATAGGGGAGACGAGGGGAGGATCGACCCGGACGGGATATAGGAGGGTGTAGGGTCTGGGAGGGAGTTTGGGGACAGGGTATAGGAGGGGTGTAGGGTCTGGGAGGGGGTTTGGGGACGGGGTATAGGAGGGTTGT